GGATTGAGTTAGAACAAGTTCTTTTAATTCACAGAAGTTTCTTATTATCCATATTTTGAAGCCTGCTTCTGTAATTGGAACACACTCGTTCTCCATCAAGCCTTGTTTCGTTGCTGATGAGGAACTGTGATCCCCTGCTGAGGGAGAGGCGTTCTGATCTTGGGTATTCTCAGTCTTTTTTGGCTGTTTTCTTCCCTTCATTATAAATTTATCCATCTGTGGTCTTTATAATTACCGTCTTTGTAATTGGGTTTCTGAGTGGACGTCCAACTTATTGATTCTCAGCGCCGAAATCTGAGCAACCCATTGCACCGACCAAATCAGCAGCGTTAAGATTGATGGTGCTTTTCTGACTCTGCACCAAGAACCGACGCACTGAGGCGCCGGCAAAACTGCCTCGCGGGTCACAAGAGTCACGCTGGCGACCCGTGGGGCTCCTGGTGCGTGAGCAACAAGAATTCATGTGAAGGTGTGGCATCCTCTCGTTCTTTGCGCTTTCACTGGGAGCTACAATCCCGAGCAGCTAGTGATCAGCCAGCTTGGATCTCTCCCCGCAGTCAGATGCTCCATTTTTTTTTTTTTTTTTTTTTAAGACAGAGTTTAACTCTGCTGCCCAGGCTGGAGTACAATGGCACAATCTCGGCTCACTACAGCCTCTGCCTCCTGGGTTCGAGTGATTCTCCTGCCTCAGCCTCCCGGCTAGCTGGATCTACAGGTGCCTGCCATCATGCCTGGTTAATTTTTGGGGTTTTTAATAGAGATGGGGTTTCACCATGTTGACCAGGCTGGTCTCGAACTTTTGACCTCAGGTGATCTGCCCACCTCAGCCTCCTAAAGTGCTGGAATTACAGGCGTGAGCCACGGCACGCAGCTGATTATCATTATCATTAGCATTAGCATTAGCATTATCATTATTATTACCAGCTGGCCCAGCTGGTGTGGCCTGGAAAATGGTGTTAATCATCATGAAATAAATAAATCCTTGATGATACTGAGCTTCAGCGGCCACTCTTCACATTTTGCACTGCAGCTCATAAAGGGTGTGAAATTCATTCCAATAGCTGCAAACAGCTATTGAAGTGAGGCAGCCTAGAGCTGACTCCAGCTGGAGAGCAAGCCGTTCAAGGGGAGGGATGGGGAGGGTTCCTGGAATGTTGCTTCAGTTATCTAAATGCATAGATATGCTCTGGGTAATGCTGGAAGATCCACTTCTTGCTGGAAGTTTGGATGGAAAATCTTTTGAACAATGCTGTCCTGGGACATGTGGCCCAGTTGTCAAATCCCCTCTTGCATTTCCCCAGTGGCTGATCTGCTGTCACGTTTGAAGCCACCCTTTCCCTTAGGTCCTCTGTATCCCTGTCCACACCACCAGGTGTGTCCCTGGGGGCAGTGCCATCTGATGGCTTGTCCAGCTCTGTCAGGCTCTCCCCAGCTTCCCCCAAGTTTTTTTTTTTTTTTTTTTTTTTTTTTGACGGAGTCTTGCTCTTGTCACTCAGGCTGGAGTGCAATGGCATGATTTTGGCTCACTGCACCCTCTGCCTCCGGGGTTCAAGCAATTGTCTTGCCTCAGCTTCCACGTAGCTGGGATTACAGGTGCCCCCTACCATACCCGGCTAATTTTTGTATTTTTAGTAGAGACGGGGTCTTGCCATGTTGGTCAGGCTGGTCTCGAACTCCTGACCTTGTGATCCGCCCACCTTGGCCTCCCAAAGTGCTGGGATTACAGGCATGAGCCACCGTGCCTGGCCAATAGTTTTGCTTTTTTACTTTTTATTTTTATTTTTTGAGACGGAGTCTCACTCTGTCACCCAGGCTAGAGTGCAGTGGCTCGATCTCAGCTCACCACAACCTCCGCCTCCCAGGTTCGAGCAATTATCCTGTCTTAGCCTCCTGAGTAGTTGGGATTACCGGTGTCCACCACCATGACCAGCTAATTTTTTTGTATTTTTAGTAGAGACAGGGTTTCACCATGTTGGTCAGGCTGGTCTCGAACTCCTGACCTCAGGTGATCTACCCACCTTGGCCTCCCAAAGTGCTGGGATTACAGGTGTGAGCCACTGTGCCTGACCACTTCCTCCAGGTTGAGTTTCCTGGGTGCCACTATGCCGATCCTGGAGTTGGGCCATCTTGCACATCCCCTTGGCATCTGGTCAGCTATGGTTGTGGAATGCCATAACAGACAGACAGGAAGATTTCACCTTATCTCATGGACATCATGAGAGCCACAGCGAGGTCAGGCTGTATGGACCGATGTTCAGATCCCAGCGTCCCACAAACACTGACTGAGAGTCCTCTGAGGGCCAAAGGCTGCATCCCAGAGAGCTCACCGTCCTCGGGGAGCTGGGCAAGGTGCTGAGCAGTAATGGCATGTGGACGTCAAGAAACACTGATGCAGGTACGGGGGGGCCCCTGAGAGGCCCCTGCTCCAGTCCAGCTTCTCCTCAGCTGGGAGGGTTGGCC